ATGATTTCGTCGAAAGGAAAATTTTCTTCGCTGCAACTGTCTTTTTATTATTCCCTGTGATCAAATGTGTATACTCCGTGACTTACGAAAACAAAAGCAGTTTCGTAATTTGTTAGGCAAAATTGAAATATTATGAAAACAGACTTAAGGTTCAACAACTTTAAAATGATGAAGTATTTTGTTTAAATAAACCACATGGTTAAATAATAAGACGAATATAGCAACTGGTGAAATTTTATATTGAACACACTGTTACACAACATTATATATATACGATATTCACTTCGACAGGGGACTGAATTAGTTAGATGTTTTTTTCTTAGTTGGATATTTTGCATCTCTTTTGTTATTCAGTTAAACATTTTTAGATTTAAAGATAAGAGGAGACTGACAGACTGTAATGCATAAACCAGGATACATTTACATATGATGACGACATACACTATTAAGTAATAGCTAAATTCTTTAGTTGCTTTATAACATACATTCATATAAGGCGTCAAATGCAATTTCCAGAAACGACAAGAACAGCTTAAAAGAATGCATATACTACTGATTGATTGATTTAAGTAGTTGGAAACTATTTACATCAAAAAGCGGTAGCGTTTGTTAACCAGAGGCCAACCATGGTTATCAGTAGTGTACTTAATTAAAATCGAGTCAGATAAGTGCATACTTTCAAGAGACACACGAATTCTAGTTAGATATTAGTAATACAACAACTTGATAAACAATGCATAAAACCACGTGAAAATGAAACATTTTCAAAACTCCACTCTAGAAGTTTCTAATATACACATTTGACCATAGGGAATTATAAAAAGACGGTTGCAGCGAAGAAAATTTTCTTTTCGGCGGAGTAATCAACTAGGCTGTACATTCGTGTATTTATAATAAATGGGTGGGAAAGTTCCAGAATAATTTCTGGTCAAGGGTCAAATTAATAAAATTAGAATGAGGAATTAAAATGCCATAATATACAAGATTCGATCAAAGGGAGTAAAATTAAGACATCTGAGCATAGCCGAGGAACTAGCTGTCCAAAAGCTCAAACCCACGCCATGTATCCAAAAGAAATACGTTAAACCCTTGTCCCTGCCGTGGCCACCATAAACAGGTAATTCTTCGAATAGTGACTATCCCATTGACTTTCTTATCCAAACTTCCTGTTTATTCATGTTATTTGCAATTAATAGTGTTCTCTGAGCTGGTTGGTTTAGTTGAGGAGCTTTCGTCGTACTTCTGGACAACATCTTCAGCGCAATATTTAGCATAAAGTGAAGTGATTTAAATTTTTTCATGAGTGATATAATTTCGTCTCCCGGTAACCATCTTTACATATGTATTGACCATTTTCTATTGACTTAGATTTTAAACTTTCTGGTCACCTGATCTACTTTTTATTAGTTGGTATATTCATGTTATTTTAAGTTTTTCTTAATCCCTATTTTCACATCTGAACTTCCTGTCTATTTTGTTATTTTATTATTTCTACACATTTAATCCCTTATTGCATAAACAATTATTCGTCACATTAGTTATGATCCCACTAGATTTTTATCCACACATCCTGCCTATTTTAGTTATTTCTACATTTGTAACCCCCAGTTGCACAATATGTCAATCTTCTCATTAACTATGATGCTACTTTGTTTGAGTTTTATCCATCCCCCTGTTTATTATGGCATTTTAATTCCTAATTATGTTTCTTATAGTTAATGTGGCGGCGCACAGGATTCCTTTCCTTTTCATGTGATTGAGAAAAGATTTTGATATTTTTATGAATGTCTTCATTTGAAGTTTAGGAGCATTCAGTTAGTTCTGTTGTCCACTGAGAGTTGAATCCAGCTGATGGAACTTAAGAAGTGAAATGAAATGTCATCTTTACTGGAACCTGAAAAAGAGATGATTTTTTTTATTTATTATAGCTTGATTCCACACTGTATTTTTGGTACAAGTATGGAATTTTCAGCATGTGATATCGGTAGCCCAATTTTGCAGGCCGACCATAGATATCGGGTGTGCGCCGGCAGGGGATCGAACCCCGGACCATGTGCATGGTCGGCGAGAGTCATAACCACTGTGCCATCGACGATCCTTCCTTCCATAAGAAAACACTTTACTTGTTCGATAAATTCAATACACTCAGTCTTCCTACTATGCATACTATGCAGATTCATATGAAATGAGACAGTGACGTTGTTTTAGACGTTATACCAGAATATTATGAAAGTTTGATATGAAGTAGAATCGAGACGGAAGCTTCAGACTGGAAACAAACGTTCTTCAGAATGTAATCATAAATATAACTAAAACAAAAAAACTAAACTGCAGTAGCATATAAATCGCCTACATCTGGTTTACTTTCCCTGCGTTATATACCTTAAAATAACTATTTCAAGGAGTTATCGCGCACTGGCGTGACCCTATTGTTTTCTCCTCTATTTGGATTGCTGCATTCCTATTGGCTGCTAATACTTTTAATGCATCACCAAATTACTGCATTTTCAAGGTCATTCCAACTGTATATATATATATATATATACAGAGTTTCTGTCCAACATTTTGACTGTTGTTTGAGACAGTAAAAGCCCTCTTATGGACGTCCAGTCATTTCTTTTGTCTTCGCGTGCCGGCGGTGTGATTGTTGTTGACGTGCAATTAGGACAGATTAGCTAGCGAATTAAGTTCGTCTCTTCCCCCTTCCGTTTCACTTTCAAATGCCCAACTCACCGTTTCCCATTCAAGTCACACTCTCCAGGTGGCTAGGAGGAGTGGCTTTATGGCATGTCGCCGCTAATTGTAGCGTCGTTTAGTGACAAGTTATATTAGCTTTTTAAATGAAATTTCGCATTGAAAATTATTTTCTGACGTACATATTATCGGTAGCATTATATTCTTGAAATGCATTACATTTGCTGCACTTCCATCAGGAAATGTTGCTTGACACTATTATCTGCACAATGTGATGGATTGAAGGAGACAATCAATTTAAAAGTTTAGCGCATATTATTGAATTTTCATGTAATCACGCTGGTATATTTTAGTCTATTTATTGAAACGCCCTAATACCTACCGGATAAGGCAGGTGGCGCCACTTCAAAAAAAAGCGATACGCCATGTAATCGTCCTCCATAACAAGAAATAACAAGCGTCAACAGACTGCTCAAGATGATGTAATCCTTGTAGACAAATATCTTTTGCATCTCAAAATATTGATGCTACGTTTACAAGGAAATATTCAGTCACTTTTAGTCTGGAACACTACCCATCTTGGCTAGCCAGAAGAGAAAAGAAGGATTCCAATTCGCCTTACCATGGCCTGAGTAACATTCTTACCATAATTGTTTTTATTAAAATTTTGGTTTACTATTGTTTTTGTTATTTTCATTATGATTTTACAACTATTACTGTTTAATAATAGTGAGAAGCCGTGACCAGTAGGGTGCAGCAGGTTGAAAATGAGGCAGTAACTCATCGAAGAAGACATTGCGAAATGGTCGCCCTATGTCGTGAATTGGCAGAAGTTAAAATTCATGGACCGTTGGATCGGCTCCCAGTGGCTCAATGGTCTACGAGCTCGCCTTGTAACCAGAAGGTCCTGGGTTCGAACCCCGGTGGGTTCGTACCGATGAAGAGTCCCAAACTAGGACGAAACAGCTGTCCAGTACTCCCAGGTTTTCCAGTGGTTCTCTAACTGTTGTCAGCTCATGATGAAATCCTCCATGCAATCTAATAATAATACACACAGGTTTTATATAAACACTACTACATTTCCTTTGGCTGTTTTTTATTTCCATTGATTAGACAGTTTTCCATACTTATTACAACTCTCGATTTCTTATCTCCACTTAGTTATTCTCTTCTAGATTATGCTTCAAATTGCGTAATATACGTTCTAGAACATGGTGACCAGTATCTGATTGGTATCATAAATTCGGTCACGTTAACCTTCAGCCGCCAAAAGAGTGCGACCGCACCAATGGCCTTGGGGCACTCAGTTATCAAATCAGCGAAACTAGATATATAAAATCATAATCGTAAAGAAAATATACCTAATGGAGTGCTACAATATTAAACGAGATATTTGGTCATTTTTAGGTGAAGTTAACATCGCCCAGTGTACTAGCTCGCTAGTTTTCTAACCGGTCCCAAGCCCGTGTAAAGAGGGAGAGGGTTGAGTGTGAGGCTAGCGCCCCCCTATCCCACAAAATCAATCCAACTGCTGCAGAAACTTCAACGCGCAAGAAAAATATTAAAAAAACAAACTCATTATTCGCCGGATTCGGAAAGGCGAAATAACACTGTGAGCCGGTGAAAGCTTTTGGAAGGCCAGTCAGCCGATGTGTCTTCTTTCGATGATGCAGTGAGTGCCTATCGTGATGTCACCAGTGGCAGTCAAAGCCCTAATGTGCAGTCGGAATAAATCTCCTCCAGGATCATGACAGCAAGATTCAACTCAAAAGGAAGGAAGGCTACAATCATCCAATGCTACGCACAATGCTACAAACAAAGTGGAACAGGAAAAGAAGGAGGATTTTTACAGACAACTACAAGTGTAACGACAGGAGGCAAGAGTCAGGCAACAGATCATTTATTAAGGAAATCAACGCATATTTATATATTTGCATGTACATCACTATGGTTGTTTAAGTAAACAAACACAGTCTTCCTATTGGTTGTTTCTCACGTAAAGTTAATCTTTCATTTATTTGTGACTGTTTCTTGAATGTCAAATCCTCTATATGTTAACTGCATCCGCCTACGCAAAGTCTGCTGTGGTCGGTTTTGAATCAATCTTTGTTCACATTTTCTCACGACAAATCTTGAGAACGTAAATATTGACGTAAATTACTGTCTACCAATTTGGCTAGTAGACAGCTCTCACCACACAAGTAGTAATGGACAATATCCCAAATGGAGACAACAATGTGAGAAATACCTCTAGATAGGATTCTAAAATACTATGAGTTAAAAAAAAATAAAATAACCAATGCAAAGAAGAGTTTTAGATTTTATTTATTTATTAATATTGTATAAATTACACTGAAATAAACACCATCTATCAGTCAATCACTGAATAATAAGAGCAGTGTGATTTATGAATAGCATAGCGTCTATTTCACATTAGTTCTCATTCTGACACACACACACACACAAAGGAAACAAAATCCTCTTGAATATACAAGTATTTATTATAGATATCATATGCAGCTATTCACTGCTGGACTCCACCTTGTTGACTTGGTGGTGTTTCTGTTGACGAGGGGAAAGGCGTTTTAAAGGTAGTCGCATTTGCTGGTATACGACGACCAACACCAGGCTGACCTATACAACTTCCAGGTGCTGCCTTATTTGACCGTTCAAATGACAGCAGACTACCAAATAAGAAATGCTGAACTACTGGGAATTTTTCTAAAACCTAAAGAAAGAAAAATAAAGTTAAATAAACAGTACGAATTGAAAAAAAAACACTGAAGAGAATGAATTACAGAATTATTAGGAAACAAACTGCTCAACAGCTGGCTATTGACAATGCCACTTGTCAGGTGATCCACAACCAAAAACTCAGAGAAGCCGCCGAAGTGAAGACAGAATGGAGTAAGATAACGCTATCACCTACTATCACCGATGATATTCTTAATTCTGGTGAACTGGATTATGCGTCAGACTATGGGGAGTGAGAAGACGGGAATACGTTGAACCGATCGGATGACTCTAGAAGATCTGGATCTGATGTCACACAAACACGAAGACTGATTGAAGAAGCAGGCAGCGAAGACAGGAGACGCCAGGTGATGACGGAGGTGATGGAGATAACCAGCAGCACTACCAACAGCAACAACAACCAGCACCAATCGCAATCAATGGGAGAGATTTTACAAAGGTAGCTTCCTTCACTTGTCTAGGCAGCAGCATTTCAAATACAGGCAGTCGGAACGGATGACGATGTCAAAGCACGCCAGAGGTGGAAAGGCGAGGTACACCTTTATCATTCCGAAATCAGTTTGGAAATCTTATGCACTCAGCTAGCAAAAACAAAAACACTCGGATTATCAACACCGATGTCAAGTCAGTCAGTTCTTCTATATGGGTCAGAGATTTGGCTGACACGCCACAAAGAGCATTTCCAACTGCCTCTTGCAGACATTTATCAACAGCTCACTTCTCTGGCTCTATGTGGAAGCTACAAAGACCGGCCAGAAATGATAAGCAACAAGAAACTGTGAGAACAAACTGACCAATAACCTGTCGCTCAACAAATATGTAGCAGAAAATGGAGTTGGATTAAGCACACTCTGGAGAGACCATCGAATAACACTACGTGCCAGGCCACCGCTCTAGTGGAGTCCGAATGGGAAACGACGAGTGGGTCATCAGTGCGAGGGTAACATGGAGTAGATAGTGCGAGAGTATGGGCAATCGTGGACCGAGCTTAAGAGGACAGCAGAAAATAGAACAAAGTGGAGATGTGTTTTTGAAGCCCTATGTTCCACTTGGAACCCAAGGGAACAATAATAATAACAGTATGATAATTTTCTCTTTCCACTAGGTAGCGTTGACTCATATTTATTATCTACTGATACAAAGCTGGCTCAATATCATTTGAAGCCTATTACAAATTTCGGAATATACACATTTGATCATAGGGAATAATAAAAAGACAGTTGCAGCGAAGAAAATTTTCTTTTCGACGAAGTCACCGTCAACTAGGCTGTACATTCGTGTATTTATAATAAATGGGTAGGAAAGTTCCAGAATAATTTCCGGTCAAGGGTCAAATTAATAAAATTACAATTAGGAATTAAAATGCCATAATAAACAGGGGGACGGATAAAACTCAGACAAAGTAGCATCATAATTACTGAGAAGATTGACATATTGTGCAATTAGGGGTTAGAAATGTAGAAATAACAAAATAGACAGGATGGTTGGATAAGAAATCCAGTGGGATCATAACTAATGTGACGAATAATTGTTTATGCAATCAGGGATTAAATATGTAGAAATAATAAAATGACAAAATAGACAGGAAGTTCGGATAAGAAAGGCAATGGGATAGTCACTATTAGGAGAATTACCTGTTTATGATGGCCACACCAGGTTGAAAGTATTTCTTTTGGATACATAGCGTGGGTTTGAGCTTTTGGATGGCTAGTGCCTCGACCCTTGACCAGAAATTATTCTGGAACTTTCCTACCCATTTATTATAAATACACGAATGTACAGCCTAGTTGACGGTGACTTCGTCGAAAAGAAAATTTTCTTCGCTGCAACTGTCTTTTTATTACAAATTTCATAAACCGCATGAAATTAGTACACATGACTTTTACCTCTTTCAAAATAGCAAGTAAACTTCTTTGGTAATGAAACCATCTCAAGTAACCTTAAATTAACAGACTATCATTGACGCAATGAGTGATGGATAATTCGAGGTGAAAAGAAAATCTGGGTCAAAGCAGGATGCCAATGTCACACACACACACCATAGATTAATATATCATTATAGTTAATGAATATCGATATAAATTGTGTAGAGATTATATGATTAGAGTGAACATGATCACAGAAATCACAGAAATATCGACAAAAGAGCAATGCCATCCGGCGGATAAATTACATACAAATTGTGAACGGAATTCACTTTATGAAGGTTAAATGTCAAACAGAAGTGAATAAAGATGCCCACTATGAAAAAAAAGAGTATCCTTTTCGATAACTTTCTTATTAGATTTTACAGTTATATATATTCACAATGTTCAAAGAATTATTGTTTTTGGAAATATTAATTTTTCTTAAATAACATGGAGTCACTATGACCAAAAGATTACAGTCAAAACTATGTAAGTAAGATAATCTGAATTCATATAACACTAACTTCAATATCAGATAAATCAAGAAAAGTAATAGTTTTCTTTTAACGAGTTGATCACGGTTAGAGAAGCATTGGAAACAAGCAGGGAGTACTGGACAGCTGTTTCGTCAGCCTAGTTTGGGAATCATCGGCAGTACGCACCCACCGACGGGGTTCGAACCCAGGACCTTCCGGTTAGAAGGCAAGCTGGCTCGTATACCATTCAGCCACTGAGACCCGATTCAATGGCTCATGAATTCTAAAGAGTTTATAAATTTATAGATCCCACAAGAGATCAGGATAGCAAGCAATAGTGGCTGGACCTGCTTCTTTTGCACGCAAAGTTCCGATTGTTTTAGCAAAGTTATGTGGATCGCTATGGCTGCCACCGTTTGAAGTACTCGGTATCTACAGGTATTTGGGAGATTTTACTCGGTACCCGATAGATGACAGATTCTTCAACGCTGGCGTTACCGCCCATTTTTGACCAGATGATCTAATATCAAACTGCTAATAGTTTTTATGATACCTTTACTTAGCTACACTGGCATGTGTCCTTATGCACAAAAAACTCAAGTTTCTAGAACAACCGCCAATACAACCGGTTTCACAGGAACAATCGAATTGATAGATAATTCTCCAACTGTACAATCCAATGAAAAATTTATGGAAAAGAATATTCTTTCAAGTATTGGTCTGCAGGGATTTGATTTGATTGGCTACAGGATTTGCCCAGCAGGTAGCGGTATGAGGACAGATACTCGCCGATGACACTGGTTAGTGGTCACACTATATCGTGAATTGGCAGAAGCTGGAGTTCCCGGACTAGCCATTGGATCGGATCCCAGAGGCTTAATGATCAACGAGCATGGCTTGTAACCGGGAGGTCCTAGGTTCGAACCCCGGTGAGTGCATGTTGGTGAAGAGTCCCAAACTAGGACGAAACAGCTGTTCAGTACTCCAATGGTTCTCTAACTGATGTCAGCTCATGACGAATATTCTTTATTCACTTATCAATCTCTTAAAAGAATGGATTTATTCTCCTAAACAATGTTTAAGTTCCCGTATTTCACTGTCCACAAACATTTTTACTCCCACGCGTCTACGTCAAACAAAACTAACTTCGCAAGCACATTTTACTGAGGCTATTTTATCAGATTATACAGCTGGAAAACAAAATTTATATGACACTGTAATAAATAACCAGAGCATACTATTTGATTTCAACTGTTAGATTTCGTCACGAGCCATCATCAGTTACAGAGAATCATTGAAAGGCAAAGAGCAGTGGACAGCTGATTTGCCCTTTGTTGGGACTCTTCAGTAGTGAGTACCCACGACCTCACCAAGGATCAAACCAATCTCCAGTTCATTGATGGCTACTGAATGGATTCCCTGAATCTGTACTGACAAGTCGTGATGAGTGAAGTATACCAATGTTAAGGTGAAGGAATTGATTGAAGGTAGCGCAAAGCATCCCAAATTGACAAAGAATTCACGGGTCATTGAATTCCAGCCCAAGTGGTTGAAAAGTCAACGAGCTTTAGTTTCGTAACCTAAAAATCTTGGAGTCGATCCCTAGTGGGGTTGTGCATGCGCACTGATGAAGAGCCCCAACACAGGACGAAACATCTATCCAGTGCTCTCTGATGTTGGTTCCTGACAAAATCTAACAGTTGAAATTGAATTGATTCAAATCTCCCACAAATCCCACAAATGAAGCATAGTATATTTAAAAATGAAAGCCAAACGAAGCCTTTCAGTAATATGGATTAACAAAAAAAAAACTTAATTTCTGCACATGGCCAATAACTTACCTCACCCTTATACATTTTGATTAGACCAGAATTGACTTTTTCCCACATTGGTACCTGACTAATACCATATAATGTGTTCGAGTGTTCTTCAAATGGACCAGTTTTACACTAGAAATAAGACAAAGGTGTATGTATTTACAAAGAAAGAAGGTAAACACATTTTTTTGGTATAGATTTCATTTTTAACGTAAAAAGAATAAAATTCCTTGTTAAAAATCAAATGTTTGCCTATATGCAATATGCACATTCCTACTATAGATGTCTGGTTGAAATTTTCAAGTATTGGATTGCGGTGAATTGATTGGTTTTAGGTTTGATATCAAACTGACGTCAGTTAGAGAACCACTGAACACCAAGGGGTACTAGATATCTGTTTCGCCTTTGTTCGGGACTCTTCACTAGTATGTATCCATGCTCCTGCCGAGGATCGATCCTAATGCCTTCACGTTACAAGGTGAGCTCGCAGACCGTTCGGCCATTGGGACGGTTTTCAATGGTTCTCTAACAGAAGTCAGCTCACAACTAAACTTAAAAACTTTCACTTGAATACAATGATGCAAGACACATCAACACAACTTGGCCCCTATCGAATATCTCCCGGCTAGACTGCGTACAACATGTTATCCGATGAACTACACTATAGTTTTTTTCATTCTTTTCGAGTTCCGAGTGGAACATAAACCTACAACCTTGAGGTTTGAAGTTTCAGTTGCTGTTGTGGTGTCGTTTTCACATGGTGGGGTTTCCAGCTGTACGTCAGACTTTCCCTCTTTATCCAGCGGCTCACTATCGGCAAGTGAGGTTCAAGAAATGTGTAGGATGGGAATCGAACCCCGGAGAATGTGCGTGTGCACTGAACCACTAACGTATTATCAAAATATATCGACATAGATTATTCATTTTGCACTATTGCCTGCTTCTTTTGATTTCGTTACTTATTTTTAAACCAACATGTAAGTGGAAAACCAGAAAACACTTACAATACACTAAACATATCTGTGCATACTTACTTGATAAATGTAATCAATGCAGGAGAATAAAAGATACCTGTCTTTTTCTTTTTCAGCAATGTTACGACACGGTATTGTTGTAGGATCATACTGCGAATTGCCTGTAGACATTGAAAAATAATAGCCAAAAACAATTTTCAGGCATTAGTTTGTAGGGAATTTGTTTGATTGGTTAGAGGATTTCATCATGAGTTGACATCATTCAGAGAACCATTGGAAAACTTTGGCGTACTGGATAGTAGTTTCGTCCTTGTTTGGGACATATATATATATATATTATATATATGCGTGGGTTATTTCAATCTGAACTGACAGGGAATTATATCAGACCTTGTTATTAACATGTAACTGCCTACATTTATAAAAATTACTGATCGACACAACCAACTCTGGAAAATAACTACAATAAAAATAAAAATTTCTTCTATAAAATTATCTTCTTTCCTTTAAATACTTCCGATTCATTCTCAGTGCAGCATTCATGTCAGGAAAACGGACGATACCCACGTACTATTTTCCCAGCTTTATTCATCATTTTGATTGACACTACAATCATCTGTGAGTGGTACTTGTTTGAAGTCAGTTACCCAGAACAGATATTACATGTACCAGGCTAAGAACCACACGAATTACTATGTGACGGCTGATAACAGTACCCAACCGCTTAGGCTGAAGTCTGCCAGTGGAAGTATGTGGGTGATCATTACTTTTCAGCAGCACATACCATAGAAGTTCATTTCTTTCTAGATTGTCTGAGACACAGACGTAGTAGTGTTGCCTGACCGCACAGCCCATAGGATAACTATTCACGATAAGTCACACATGGCTTGTTTGACGTGGCTTTTGGAGTTGTGTCCGTATTTAGCTCTTACCGCCGGCTACGGACCGCTATAAGGTAGGTCAGGATATACAATTCTCGTGTCATCCTTCCCCCAAGTATCCAAAGTGGGAAGGCAGTATGGATGGATTGCTGATTATCTGAGAGAGACACTCTACTGCCGTTACATCCCTATTTACCAACAAAATGATTTCATCTGTATACCTTTAAAGTAACACAAATGACGATTTACACTATGACGGTAATCACCTTTTGTCATGGTAACACCTGCAGGAACATTAGCACCAGCCAGTGTAACTCATTGGGTCATTACGATGTGTCAGCCCAATCACCACGTCAAAGTAGCAGCTATCGTGGTTGGGCAGGCTGAAATAGGTAGAGTAGGACTCGAACCCATGACCCGTTGGCTGTAAACTTGGGCCTCTTAAGCTGATTAAACACATTTATGAGTATTCTGGGTAATTCAGTTACCAAACCTAGTAGACTTTAAAACCTTTAAAAAAAAAATTATTTTTACAATTGAAATTACCAATCAGTTGACTACTTCCCCAAATAAATGGTACAAATTGAAAATCATCTAAACACCAAACACCATGAGATCCAGCCGGCTCCATACGATACGTTGTTTGCAGTGATCGAACCAAGCTTAAATATTTTGGCATTACAATGAGACCGACAGCTAGAAGATCACTTATAACTGTTGAATCAGAATCACTTTGCTTGTGTAAGATATTGAGTTTGAAAAGACAAGTTAAAAACGCCAAAAAAGCCAGTTCATGACCAGTTCCATAATCGATACGTGTTGAATTTCCCACCGATTCAATTAGATAAGAGGAAACTTCATCAATTGCTTCCTTATATGATACTAAATACAAATATAATAACAGCTTTTTTTGTTTTAGAAAATAACAATACAATAACTATTCAGCAACTAATTGTACTTCCCTATTTACCAAAAAATAGGCGATGAAATGAATCAGAGGGAGAAAGATAGTTTAACATTGTAAACCCTAGAAAAACACAAATCTAAGTCTTGTTTATAAAAATCCAACTCTCAAAGAAAAAAGTTTAATTAAAGATTTGATCACGGATTGATATCAGTTAGAGAACCATTGAAAACTAACAGTGAGTACTGGACAGCTGCTGTTTCATCCTAGTTTGGGAATCATCGGCAGTACGCACCCACTGGGATTCAAACCCATGACCTTCCGGTTACAAGGCAAGCTCGTATACCGAAACGCCCTGGGTTCGAACCCGATGATTCCGGAACACCTGCCGTACTTCCTGGTTTTCAATGGTTCTCTAACTGATATCAACCCGTGATCAACTCATAAAAACAAAACTAACCCTTACAAACCAAACTACAGAAATTATATTAAAGAAGCAAATTTTAGTAAATCACATCGTGCAACTATTTTTCTACTCAAAAAGACTTATACATGTAATTCACAATCAAGTATATATTTATGACCCGAATGTCCACAATGACAATCTGTTTAGTCTTTATAAGATTATCCCTGAAGTAGACTGTACATCTAATAATCTAATTGGTGGATGGTGACTGGCAGTGGAATCCAGGATAACACGCATTTCGTCCTATTTGGGACTCGTTAACTGGATGTACCTGCATTTCGCAGTGAGTGATGATGTTCCCACCGAGGCTCGAACCTAGTGCCCATAGTTTCAAACGCCAAAGCGTTATCCACTAGACCACTTGGGCCACGAGAGTCACCTCTTGTGCAACGGGTCATATTAATTTAATTGAATTTTAGATTTTCCCGTCGACTGATTGAACCGAAGTGCTCAGTCTCAGGTTGACATGTTGGCTTCTTGTGCAGATGCTTCGACGATGTCTGAACAATTAGTTAGAACTTAACTGGTGAAATACGCATTGGATTCCTTTGCTAGTCACCATCCACCAATTAAATTCTAACTAAATGCTCAGACATCGTCGAAGCATCTGCACAAGAAGCCGACATGTTAACCTGAGACTGAGCACTTCGGTCCAATTAATCGACGGGAATATCTAAAATTCAATTAAATGTACATCTAATAATCGTTGGATTGGGTTGTTTTGTTTGCTTTTTTTCGTAAAACCTTCGGTCATATAATCCAAAATTGTGTATAATGAAGGTTATTTTGGTCTAAACAATGTTTAAAATCATAAATATATCTACTGTTTTGTTTCACTCTCATCTATGAGTGGATGTGTTGCAAATTTTAAGAGAACACGTATTATGTGTCACTGTTTCCCATGTGACCTGTAAACCAAACGTTTGACCCTAACGTAGATTACAGGTCATGTCACTGGATTTTTATTGATACATGTTATCCAGTAAGAGCAAAGTTTTTATATATTAAACGGGAAATTTACTGGTCATGTTTTTGGTTTTTTTTATTCCTTTACGTTCCCAGTGGAAGATAGGCGGCTTCAAGCTAGAGCTTTGAAGTTTCGGTAGCAGTGGTGTTTATTTTTACGGGATGAGGTTGCTAGCCTCATGCCCAACCTCCCCTCTTTACCAGTCTTATTACAAGCTTAGCGAGGTAAGGGAGTGCATCAGCCGAGGATCGAACCCCGGACCACATGCGTGGTCGGCGAGCATTCTGCTGCTGTGCCATCGACGCACTATTGGTCACGTAAAAATATGTAATTAGCCATAATGTCTAGTGATATCGCCTTTGGCATGGGGAAACAAGTCTTTGCCTTCACAGTCAGTTTACTTTATCTTCCTTAGTACGAAAGTACTCAATTGATCAGTCATATATTATCAAGCGTTGAAGTGGTGGTGGAACGAACCCAAACCCAGTATTATCACAGTTACAATAGTGGTTATTTCCAACTGTGAATGGTATATTGGAAGAAACAAAAACATGTTAAGCCAATTACGACACTCTACTCAAACTCACGAGTTTGTGTAACATCTTCCAGAAAATTGTCATCTGAAGCAAAAAATGCCAATTTCATTTTAACTTAGATTCACTAAACATATACTGAAGGAGGTGTGACTGTTTAATCCCATTCCCTCATTCATTAAAGGAGTGGTCGGAAATTTAAGGCTTTCTTTTGTCTTCTGCTCCCGAAAGCCATGTCTTAGAGTCTTAAATAAGTTACATTACGGACTATTAAGCAGTACACAGTATAATAAGTACTTCGTCTATTGGGACTGATTATCACTTCACCATACAACAACCTTCTGTAAGTACTTAAAGCGTCTTTTGAGTTCTAATTTATTTATTATTAATCACAAAATAAAACAACACTATCTACTGATATGATCAGTAAAATGTATGTTTCATACACCGTTGACGATATATGAATACGGTCCGAAATAACAAAAAATTAGGTGGAAACTACCATTGACAGTGGCATAAAAATAAGTTCTATACCGTTTTAAACAGTATCTATTCAAGAAGCTATAGAAAAAGAGGATTGAATCTCATTCGTGAAGTTGAAAGCAGCTTAAAAAAAATCGAATCATTATTAAACGTTGCCTAAGTTAAGATTAAGGGAATATTATTTTCTTAATAGGAGTATAGACTTGGAAATATACTTTCATTAATACAAACAATTAGCATTTATTAAAATGTTAAGCCTACAATTTACTAACTCGGCGGATCACTGAAGTCTCCACTGCCATGATCAATAAATATATTGGTACAGAGTCCAACTGCATTCTCTTGTAACCATGAAAACCAACTCTTGAATGCTTTATTTCCAAATCGTTGTGGCTGCTCCTCTGGTGGGTATTGTTTGATTGCCTGTTGCATCTTTTCAAGTACCTCACATACTAACGTTATGGCCTAAAATGATTGATTTTATACTATGCTTTATACTCTATCACCTTAGATGCTAACAAATCTTTCTGAATTGGACGTGAGACTATTTTGTTGTTGACACCGTTGATCAAGTCAAGTATGTCGTAGAGAGCAACTGAAGCGGTCCATTGACGTATATCCGCAGGAGATAAGATTTTTTTCGTCAGACCCATTTACTAAAAGAACCAAAAACAATCGAATAATTTACAGACATTATATTTTCATCAAATATCTCACAAAGACAGAAATAAAACCCTTGTATTTGATACTTCAGGCGTGTGAATATCCGGAGGAAAAAAGCATCCTATTATTTGGGACGTGGTTGGAGATTGACTTCAGTTATCAAGGTGCATTCAAATCATGTTATGCTCAAAGTTTAGACACAAAATCAACGGCAAACCTAACTGAAAAGCACATTATCCACGCTAAAATTTTGGGAGTAGTGCAGCACGCTTTGGTCTAACTTTTTTCTACACTACAACTAAGTTTGGTGCACTCATCCCTTGTGATATACATTACGTTCACAACATGTATCCCCTTAATTCTTTGGCAACAAGGTGTATTTAAGCTGTGGATTTTAAAAAACAAATAACTACAAACACTTAATAACATCTAAGATAAATATCACATTTTTCACTAAAGGAATAATTCATTAGTGTACAGAACAGGAGGAATATAACAAAATGTAAGACCATTTTGTTTGCTACTGCTTAAACTAGTACATCAAGATTAACTGACTGACTAAGTCTCAACACAGAACTTTGCATAGAAGTGCAGTAGCTCAATTTGGAGTAAAAGAAAAAGATTCAAACTGCAATGCATGGAAGAAAGAATAATTACATAGAGAAACATGAGAACTTAAAGATCTGGAGATGCTAAGAGTGAGTGTATCTGCGCCACTGAAACAATCAAGAATGCCTCGCCTTCATTTGAACTACATAATCAGTATCACTTTTAGGCATTTAAGTAACACACTTAAGTTATCAAGATAACATTCAAAATTCAACAAAGTGAGCCATAGTACCAACGCTCCAGCTATTAGTCCTTATATCTCGAGGATCTCAACCGGTTGAGGGGATAAAAGTACATGGTACTGAGATTTGAAATAATTCACTTAACTCACAAATTTGAAGAAAGAGTAATACAATCTTAGTGTTCACTCGGTTGGCTCTCACAGAAAAATTTATTCGTCCAGCGTCGGGTAGGGTTTGTTGGCTGAGGTCTACAACTTCCATCCAAAAAGTTTCACGTCCGAGTCTCGCTCCACCTACTTCAGTCTGTATTATTATGACTATTATTATTCCCTTGGGTTTCGAGTGGAACATAGGGCTTCAACAACACATCTCCACTTTGTTCTATTTTCTGCTGTCTTCTTCAGCTGGGTCCACGATTGACCATAATCTCTCATCTCCTCCTCCCCAAAACGATCTCCTCCATGTCACCCTTGGACGACCTACTCATCCCTTCCCATTGAGGTTCCACTCGAGCAATGACCTGCGCGCGATGTCATTTGACGGCCTCCTCAACGTGTGCGGATGCCCGGCGCTCTTCACCGGGTTGACTGCCCATTGGATGACAGTTTAGGGGAGATGGTTAAACCCTGATTCCAAACCTCCAACGACTGGCGTATGAAGCTCACTGGAGCTCACCGGCAGACGTATGGAAAAAGGGCTTGTTGGATGTCCTGAATGTCTGGCCCCATTCAATAAGGCGTATGTACCGAACTCCGTCCGGCTGCCAATGGATAATGGACTCCCTACTCCACTCCTACTGCCTTGTAGGTCACACTGGTTGTGTAAAGGCTAGAGCTGCACTCTCAAAAAAAAGGCCGAGCGATTCTGGGGACATCACTCGTACCAAATTCCCATGAAACTTCATGAACTCTCTTACCTTGTCGCAAAACCTTGCAACAGATCGCCGCGCCTGGGCAGCGATGATTGAGAACGGCTATCCTTCCGTAGGAGATAGCGAAGTAAAGCCAGTCCATCTCCATTTTCTCCTAAATATTTGTTGAGCAAATAGGCTCTTCATTGGTTTGTTGACAGAGTTTCTTGTTGCTAATTCCTTCTGACCGGCTGGCTGGCTGGCCATTTGATCTTCAATAGGAAGCGAAGGCAGCTGTTGATAAAAGTCTGTAACTTGTTGGAAATCCTTCCCGTAACAGGCAGTGCAAGTTACTAACCCGTATAGAAACACTGGCTGACTTCATGTGTTGAAAATCCGAATCTTGCTCTTTATGATGCCTGAGTGCAGAAGATTTCCAAACTGATTTCAGAGTGATGGAGGTGTACCTCACCTTTCTGATTCTGGCTTTGACATAATCAACCGTGCCGCCTGTAGCTGAAATGATGATGCCTAGGCAAGTGAAGGAAGTGACCTCTTTCATATTTCTCCGGTTGATGATAATTGGTGTTGGTCATTGTTGTTGCTGTTGGCGCGTGGTTAACTTCATCACCTCCGTCTTCTCTATGTTCACCTGCAGTTCTGTCTTTGCTGCCTGTTTCTTCGGTCTGCCTGTTGGTTTACGCCTGCGGGTCTGCGAGTTTGTGTGACGTGTGACATAAATCATCTACACGCCAGATCCTCTAGAGTCTTCTTATCGGTGGTCTAAAGTATTCCTGTCTTCTCACTTCCCACACGCGTACTTCCACATAATTCTGTGCACTACAATTGAGAATATCATCGGTGATAATAAACAGCCAGCCTTGTCTTACTCCTGTATGCATTTCGAACGCCTCGCTGAGTTTTCCGTTGTGAATCACCTAACAGATGACACTGTCATATATCTGTTGAATGAGGTTGATAAAGATTTGGGCACTGCACGCCGTAGTGTTGAAGCAGTTTCCAAATTACTTCCCGGCCAACGCTGTCTGGTGAAGGCCTTTCGAAGTCGATGAAGTAGGGGTAGAAGTTTGACTGCCATTCTATGCTTTGTCCGATGACGACAAGTAGAGTTGAATTTCATCAGCACACGGCTTGCCTTTCCTGAATCCAGCTTTTTCCGGACTGGTGGAGTTCTGCATCCATTGCCTCTTTTATTCTCCCTAGGATGATGCGAATTAGTATTTTACTTGGCGTGGACAACAGCATTATTCCATCGCAGTTCTTGCAGAGGCAAGAGTAAGTGGCCCTCATTGGTAGCTTGACAAGGTAGCCAGTCTTTTTTCCAGTCTGTAGATACCTTTCCTTAATTCCAAACCTTTTGCGATAATGGCGTGAGCACTTTAGTCGGAGGCAGTGAGTATTATTCTGAACTTTGACAAAGAAGAATGACTCACAGCTTGGTAAAGGAAAAGTCTCTTCTAAGGGGTTGAGTTCAAATTAACTAGATATTTGGTGATATATCTAGATTGAGTTTGGTAGTAGAGCAAGCTGACTTAAAAACAGAAAGTCCAACCAAAAGATTATTAACTAGAATAAAGGAAAACAAAATTTAATCAGCACCCTAATTGGAATAATAAATGTAAGCTTAAGCTGTACAACATGTAATACCAACTAACAGTAGATAGTAACCACTTGTGCGGACCATTACTGCTCACTAGCAATTTTCGAAAAAAAAAGTCAATTAAGCACGTAAATGTTTGAAACTATTCATCCAGAAGACTTGTAATCAGCTTAGAAGTAGACATAACTTTAAAACATGAACTTCATAAGCATAAACACAAACAAATAGCCCCTTTATCAAAATAAAATCTTATCCATAATGGAGTTATGCTCTACCACAGTGCCCAAGTTTTATACTTATAACAACTAAATTTACAATTCACTAATTTGAGTTTTTGACTCCTTCCATTTATCATAAGATTCTCAACATTATTCTGAGGCTTCCATTCTGTAAATTAGCCAGCTGACAATTATTTAGAAATGTTAACACTAAATAATACCAATTACTAAGAAACATCCATTAAACTAGATTTTTAACCTGAACGACAATACATGAAACTGACTTCGAATAACATTTTAAACTCCCTTGCAACTACCAACAACCTATCGACAAATTGGGAAAATACAGTATGCGCAGTTCGGAAATCCATAGTGAAAATCAAATTAGCAAGTGCACAAAATCGTCACACTAACCTATGTAGCGCTTAATGCTTATTGCGCGCTAAACTCTCCTGGTGAGTAATCTAATATTCAATATCGTTTTTACGAGCTAGTATAAACCAGCTTGATATTTTGTTCTCCCTTCTTGATTCTGAGGTAAAGATTCCTGGTCTTCGGTATACTTCTGCGTAGTTCGTCCCGTCACTCGACTGTCGTAGCTTTGTTTGACTCCAAAAGGAGTGGTGCTGGGATTAATTATATAATGTTTGTAGTAGGCGGTGTGTTAAGGCTTTGTTGCTATTGTGAATGATTTTAATGCTTTCACCAGTTAGTCCTCCAATGTCGTTGTCAAGAGAAAAGAGATAATAATGACTGATACAATCAGCGTAGCTTACTCAGACTAAAAGACAAAAAGAAATTTTTTAAAAAGTATAAACAGACAAATGACATGAGAATGAAACTTCAGCACTGTGGTAGAGTGCAATTCCATTATGGGTGAATTTTATTTTGATAAAGTCTCACAGTGTTATACAGTAATATTTACTGATGACGTTTCGAGCACAATTTATTGCTCATAATCATATCAAGTTAATCACACGACTTCCTAAATTCATTTATAGAGTTCCATTGTTTTTCACTTGATTTTCACTTGATTTCATTGGTAGTATTATTTTCCATATTTCAGGTATGAGTGATGATTCATTCCTATTGCATGTGTTGGGTGTAGATTCGATGAACAAAGATTCAGTAATCAACCTCTCTCTCTCCACCTACCTAGATAACTTTTTAGAATTTTAACCCTCTCCCACCATGCTATTGTGTGGTTTTGTGTTAATGCATGCAGTGTAATGTGGTGCTGAGCTTTTATCTAAATTACTCATCTTTGTGGGATCAATCATTCTTACTTTAGCTGAATTCTTATGTTCCGACAATCTGATTATCCCCGATCTACTAGTTTGACCTACATAGTTGACTTCACAGTCATTGCAGGGTATTTTGTAAATTATATTATTTTGTTTAATTGGGTCCACCGACAGTGTCCTTTAGCCTATAGAGCTTGTCTCTGAGTGAGTTTGTAGGTTTAAATGCCACCTTAATTCCTGCTTTATTTAGAACCCTACGTAGGGTCTCTGTCGGTACGTTCGAAATTGGTGACATTTTTGCACGCGTTTGCTCTGATATTCATTTACTGCTTATAGTCATATAATCCTTGAAATCATGGTCCAAATTTCTAAAAAACGTGTTCGTAGAAACACAGTTGTTTTGGATAGTGCCCCAACCTCGGTTATAACTGCATTACCACCCTGTAATACAGCATTAACTACTAGCTCACAAAATGGCTTGAGCGCAATTCTCACTCCTGTGATACAGATGAAAGATGTTCTGTTAGAGAACTCTGAGATCTGTAAATTAGACCTCCTTGTGAAAGATATCCAAAGGCAAGTAAATGAACTTCAGGAAAAATTAGGTCAGTGTGATAGAATGTCACTGCCAATGTCAAATATCACGGAGAGCAGTTCTGATATTGGCCAGGTTAAGTCTTTACTGGATGTAACTCAAAGCAAGCTTTCGGATTTAGACCCAATAGCCTGTATGTTAAGAAAGCATCCTAAAATGTTTCCAGACACCCTAAATATATATAGACAAACTGAAGGTGTAGCAATGGGATCACCAATATCCCCTATCGTAGCAGATATATTTATGGATAGCTAGGAAAATATGGCACTTAATACGTTTAATCCTACGATAGGGGGTATTGGTGACCCCATTGCTACACCTTCAGTTCTAAATAACTATCCTCTAAAATTCATTAGGAATATTGAAAAACGCCAAAAGAAAAATAAAAAGAATTGTGAAACTAGTAATAATAACATAAATAAGAGAGAATATAAGTCATCTACAGTTATACCACATAAAGAGGGGACATCTGAGACCCTACGTAGGATTCTAAATAAAGCAGGAATTAAGGTGGCATTTAAACCTACAAACTCACTCAGGGACAAGCTCTGTAGGCTAAAGGACACTGTCGGTGGACCCAATTAAACAAAATAATATAATTTACAAAATACCCTGCAATGACTGTGAGGTCAACTACAAAGGTCAAACTAGTAGGTCAGGGGCAGTCAGATTGTCAGAACATAAGAATTTAGCTAAGGTAAGAATGGTTGACCCAGAGAAGATAAGTAATTTAGAAAAAAGCTCGGCAATTGCAATGCATGCATTAACACACAACCACACAATAGCATGGTGGGAGAGGGTTAAAATTCTAAAAAGTTATCTAGGTAGGTGGAGAGAGAGAGGTTGATTACTGAATCTTTGTTCATCGAATCTACACCCAACACATGCAATAGGAATGAATCATCACTCATACCTGAAATATGGAAAATAATACTACCAATGAAATCAAGTGAAAATCAAGTGAAAAACAATGGAACTCTATAAATGAATTTAGGAAGTCGTGTGATTAACTTGATATGATTATGAGCAATAAATTGTGCTCGAAACGTCATCAGTAAATATTACTGTATAACACTGTGAGACTTTATCAAAATAAAATTTACCCATAATGGTATAAACAGACAACTAATTATATTTGAAGTTGATATAATACTTATTTAAATATATATAATGTCAATAAAGAATTTACGTGTTGTTGTTGGAGAAGTCGGGAGAGTATGACAGAAGAGAATGTGAAAAACTAAACTGTAGCGGTAAATAATTGGTATGAGATCTTGCGCCCGTATACTCCGTGGAATTCGCGAACGTCGATATGGTCAGCCTCCAAACTGGTGAGCCCAACAGCGAACTTCATCTTCAATAAATATGCAGATAAACCCGGTCAGTTCGTTCCTTTTTGTATTTTTTCTTGTACTATATTTTAATCGGAATAGATTTCGTCATGAGTGATCCTAGCCCCAAGGTTATTCGTATTTGCTCAACTGCCAAAACAATTCAGCTCGTACCATATTGGCCAGATAATGCTGAAATGTAGTTTCGGACAGCTGTGTCTGATTTTCAGGAGCATGGGATAACCAATCAACGTTCACAGTTCCTAGCAGTTATTCACGCACTACCGCGGGAATTCAGCAAGTGCGTAACTGTGCAGATGTCGAGTCCAAAGGTAAGTAACTCGTACGAGTTACTCAAAGCATCCCTCCTCAGGAGAAACCTTCCCATGGATCGACAGCGTCTGGATGAATTATTTCGTAACGTCGAGTTAGGGGATCAGTCAGCCGTGAGCATGCTGACAAGAATGAGAGAGGTTATTGGCCAAAGTCAGTCCGATGAAGGACTGTTCAGAGAACTCTTCTTATCCAAACTGCCACAGTCAGTACAGACTGTGCTGGTGACACTTCAAGGTGTTATCATAGACGACTTAGCTGTTTCTGCTGATAAAATTCTAGAAATATCTAAACGGTCAGTTCCTGAAATATGCTCGGTGGCCAAACAGACTCCGTAGAAGGATAGATAGAGTTATGCAACTCCATCCAGCATTGCTTAGGTCAAACATGCCTAGTAATTCCTCCCACCGTCGTCCTAAATCTCCTCAACGACAGAACGCACGTGGTCGATCTAAGTCCCACCCACGTTCTCTGACAAAAACCCTGCTTGGTACTGGTATCACAACACCTACGGCCAGGAAGCGAAATGTTGCCGTAAACCTTGCAACTTCGGCAACGTCTCAGAGTCTGTGGGAAACTATCCCGCCGGCATGCTTTAGCGGCAACCGTCGCCGGTGGCACTAGCCGCCTACTTTACATGCACGATATGATCAGCCAAAATAGATATTTAGTCGACACAGGCGCCGAAGTCAGCGTCCTTCCTGCTATAGCAGCAGATCGACAGAAGGAACCTACAGGAACTTACAGGCTGCAAATGGAAAACCAATTGCAACTTTTGGTAGGAAATACGTCTATCTGAACGTAGGTTTACGCAAACCTATTCAGTGGATTTTCCTTATCGCTGACGTCACAATGCCCATCATTGGCACGGACCTTCTTAATCATCATGATTTACTCGTAGATGTCCGCCGAAAACGACTGATTGACAATACTACTAGTCTGTCTATCAAAGGCATCACCTACATAGGCCCCAGCTTGTCAATAATTAAGATGAAAGCAGTCCTCGATCCAACTTTTATACCGATTGTTGACAAATATCGGGAACTTAATTGCCCATCTAACGATCTCCCGTGCATAACCAGCAATGTTATGCACCACATCATAACCTCAGGACAGCCCGTGACGTCTAAAGCACGACGACTGGTCTCTGACAACATGAGAATTGCTAGAAATGAATTCGATCATATGCTCACCCTTGGCATCATTCGGCCATTGAATAGTCAATGGGCATCCCCACTGCATATGGTACCGAAAAAAGATAGTAACGATTGGCGACCCACTGGTGATTATCAACGAGTGAACGCCAAAACAAGCCCTGATTGCTACCCATTGCCTCACATACACGACTTGACGGCAACGTTATCTGGCGCATCTATATTCTCAAAAATCGACTTGGTTAAAGCGTGTAACCAAATCCCGATGGCAACGGAAGATATACCGAAAACGGCTATCATCACGCCTTTCGGACTATTTGAATTTCTACGTATGCCATTCGGCCTCCGGAATGCAGCGCAAACATTCCAACGCTTCATCGATGAAGTATTTCGCGGTCTCGACTTTGTATACGCATACTTAGACGACTGCCTCATTGCCAGTCCAGATAAGGAAACTCACCTTAGACACTTGGACTTGGCATTTGAAAGGTTACGCCAACATGGTGTTACCATCAATATTCAAAAGTGTCAGCTAGGCGTTGACTCACTCGACTTCCTGGGTCAGGGCATTCGCCCACTGGCTACTAAATTCGAGGCGATACGGAACTTTCCAGAGCCACAAACGGTGAAAAGTCTTCGCACTTTTAACGGCTTGGTAAGTTACTACCGACGATTTATACCCAACTGTGCCTCTCTGATGCAGCCATTGACAGACCTTCTTCGAGGGAATAACAAGTCTGTCAAACTTGACGCGTCTGCTTGAAATGCTTTTACTCAGGTAAAGAAAGCTATTGCGGATGCCACCCTTCTTTTGTATCCAGATCTAACGGAACCGTTAAGTATCTCGGTTGATGCATCAGACACTGCAATCGGCGCAGTTCTGCAACAACTAGTTAACAAAGGGTGGTAACCACTCGCCTTTTTCTCGAGGCGCCTTCAATTATCTGAAGCGAAGTACAGCACATTCGGAAGAGAACTTCTAGCTATGTACTGTGCTATGCGCCACTTTCGAATTTCAGTTGAGGGTTGTGAATTAATAATTTTCACTGACCACAAACCTCTGACGTACTCTCTGAACTCAACTTCAGATAAGTATTCACCTAAAGAATCACGACAACTGGACTACGTTTCACAGTTTACATCCGATATTCGCCGTGTATCCGCAGTGAACAACACTGTGGCAGATGCTTTGTCACACATTTCTTCCCTCACCCAAATCGACGGCAAAGACCTTGTAAAACTGGCTCGTCTTCAAAAAGGAGATACAGAGCTTCAGCATGAGTTGTTGAAAACAACTCTACAATCAGCCGAGAAACCCTTAGGTATAGGAAAAGATGCTATTCTCTGCGATATTTCCACTAGTACTCCTCGCCCCATCGTGCCTAAAACTTATCGCCGTGACGTCTTCAATACGTTGCATTGCTTATCCCATCCAGGTATTCGAACTACCGTCAAACTCTTAACTAGTCAGTTTTGTTGGCCTGGTATTAATAAGAAAGTAAGAGAATGGGCACAGACGTGCTTAGCTTGCCAAAAGTGCAAGGTAATAAGACACACCAAAGCCCCCTTGGTACTTTTCTTATCCCTGACGCCCGTTTCGAACACGTCCATATAGATTGAGTTGGCCCCTTTCCAGAATCTCATGGATATACCTATATGTTAACCTGCATCGATCGCTTCACACGATGGCCTGAAGCAGTACCCCTCAAGGATATATCTGCTGAAACTGTCGCACGCGTCTTTGTAGAGAGATGGATCGCAAACTTTGGATGCCCATCAACCATAACAGCTGATCGTGGGCGGCAATTCGAAAGCGGTTTATTCTTCGCTCTGACTAAAATCCTTGGTTGCATGCGTTTTCGAACAACAGCCTACCATCCTCAAGCTAATGGTATGGTAGAACGTCTACACAGACAGTTGATAGCTGGTTTATCAGCTGCAAATAACACCCATTGGACTGAATCCCTTCCGTTAGTTCTCCTAGGGATACGAAACGCTTTAAGAACCGATGCTGGTTGAACTACCGCTGAACTAGTATATGGCACGACACTACGACTGCCAGGTGAGTTTGTTTCTCCCTCAAGCTTCACATCAGCGGTAGATCACTCCTCATTCGTTTGTGGTATTAATCATTATTTCTTCTTTTCAGACACATCAACTTTTTTAAATAGCATCACTAAGCACAAGTAAAAGTTTTTTCCTATAACCGTGCATTATACATACACTTAATAAGTTGGATGTACATTTTTTTCGATGTTTTAAACTTTACATTATTTTACTGTATGGTAGATGCGCTCATTTGGTACATTTTCCTCGACAAGGCTCTTAGCAATCTTGTTTACTTTTCCAGGTGTGACGGGCATTGGGCAAGAAACAAACGAAGCACGGGATCCAACGAACAACATCGAGGAAGCCATGTACAGACACCATATTAGCATAGGCAGATATACTAGTAGCCAGTCCATCAAGCCTCTCGGAAGAGTTTTTTTCAACTATAAGGGAACCATTGAGACTTTTTACTTCCGGCTGGCTCTGTCTTAGGGTCCTCACAACCCCACTAGAGGGGGAGTGAGCTGTAGCGGTAAATAATTCCCCAAAATTATTGACAAAAGCAATTGTCAAGGAACTTAGCCCTAAGTTCCTATCGTAATGAAGACTTAAGCGATTGAGCCGATAAATACTATGCACTTTCTTCAACTTTAAATCCAAAACACCAGTATTCCTTGAACGAAATTATATTTGGCAATTAAATTGAAGAAAACTACAAAGTCTACAAACAAATGTTAAGTAAAAATGAAGTTATAAAGTACTTTTATTCGTATTTAACTCCAGTCTTCTTTCAACTTGCAAGCGATCGTTCCATTCGCGCCTTCAATTGCCCGCCAATGGTTGCCAGTTCCAATAAAACAAACGTTCAATGTTCACTTCCATTGACAGCAATCATCACTCAACATTGGATGCTGACCCTTACTGTTTAAGTAGACTTGTTTAGCTGAAGGCTTCCGGCCGAGCATCCCAGCCATTTGGTACTCCGTCGTGTCACGTGCGTGCACGATCACTAGCTAGATAAGCACTCAATTCACTTATCGATTTGGTCCCGAAATATATCACGTACTTTGGACGACTAAATCTGGTCTTTTGCTTTGTATTTGGTACACGAGAAACGAATACTTTAGAAGTTGTTGGTATAAGATCTTGCCTCAGTGTACTCCGTACAATTCGCGAACGTCGATACCGTCAACCTTCAAAAAACCTATGCAAGCAGCCTAACTAACTAGTTTTCAAGGAATTAACCAAGAAAATTAATACGAACGAACAAACTATTGCTCATAATCATATCAACTTGATATGATTATGAGCAATAGTTTCTGCTCGAAACGTCATCAGTTTATATTACTGTACAACACTGTGTGATTTATCAAAATAAATCTTATCCATAATAGAGTTATGCTCTACCATAGTGCCCAAGTTTTATACTTATATCAATAATACATGAGGTATAAGTCTAACTTAAATCCACGACAGAACCGATAAGTGTAGTTGTACCTCAATTAACGCGTTGCACAATGTTACTCGAATCTGTTTCAGAGACGATTATTCTTAATACTTATTTTTGGTGGTGTTCTTTTTAATGTTTGTCTATCATTGACAGGCCATTAAATCAGAATTGTAAGCTCAGTTGGTGGAGAAAATTTCCACCAAATGTTGTACGAACCTGATCTGTGTGTAAAAATTACTAATCTTATCAGGAAATTCTTGGAAGATATCCGGTCAAGTATTTTACGAATGCCGATAAAAATTCGATGAATAGCATCATTGTGCATATTCCAGGAAAAGAAACATGGCTAGGTCTACACTTTATAGGTTAACTTTAAATGATTCAGCATTGTCTACGTAAACCGTTAGATAGTCCGTGAATGCCCTGAGTGTTTAGGGTCCGTTTCAGTGAGTATTTACTCGAGTAAAACCAAATTTAACCCTTAACCTCAACTGTGTGCGTTACTAATCCTACCTTCAGAGCCCTTCAGCCAGCTTTAACTGCCCAACCGGATTTCCTGAGTTTCTCTGCCAAACAAACGTAGTCTTGTATCTGTAAAATACACCTTGTATCCGCACTCATATCTTTGATATTTCAGTCTTACGTGTTCGGTGAATAACTACATAGTTTGATGCACGTGTGCATCAGTGTACATGAAAATCAAAAAATTTCTCCCATTACTATGACAAAGTTGGAATTCCACAAAAAGGACTAAGTCGTATTTGTGTAGCAAAAGAACTTTAGTTTCTGACATTCATCTTCTGTTACTGTTAGTGCTGCAGCTGAAATACCAACATATATAGACCAGCACCGTTTCCTAAGTCCAGTTTATGCTTTCATTTATTTGAGTTCAATCACATCGATATTTCTTACACGTAAAACCTAAGAGAAAGCACGGTGCAATGAAGTGGTTGAATATTTCCGAGGTATTTAAAAACTGTAGGACAAACGGGAGGTAAAATGATTTAATCGAATGAGGAATTACCAGCTTGCGGCGAAAAGCAACTCCGAAAAATATTGGACCACAGAACATGTTACTGAACACCGGGTGCTGATCTTCTGTACTGAAATCAGCCACTTAAACCGAAGGCACGCATCCAGGCGTTAACCTGAAATGAACTAACTCAAAGTGTTATTCTATTTTACAATTGTTCGGCACAATAATTCCAAATGACAAAAAGTTAAAAGCTGGACTGACGTCAGACACAAGTCTCTATCATTTTAGCAAACTTCTCCTGAATTTTCTCGATAGAATGTCCACGATGTTTGTGGCATAGTCGTTTTAAGTTCTGATGTCATTAAGCGATTTCCAACTCACATTGGTACTTATAAGTCCATTTTATCAATGACAGTCAAAGCATAAGCTTCCCCCTCCTTTCTAGAATTTACATTCTGTAATTAAAAGGTTACGTATGGACCCAGGAGCATCAGCTGCGTATCACAATTACAGATATCATTTCTTTCACTTGTGTAGCATTTCAGTGACAACCAAAGAAGATACAACTGGAGATTTAGGACTCCAAACACATGCATATGCGCAACCAGTATATTTTTTTCAGCGAATTAAGATAGCGTTTTGTTAAGTCCTCGTGAGCGATGGTAATTGTTTATTCTAAGTAGTTATTGTTACTTGATCAACGTAACTTGAATGTCAAGGTCGACCAGTGATGATGCATTATCGCTAAGATGTTTTATGTATTGGTAGTGATCGGCACTCTTCTGCTATCTGCTTTTTCTGTGGGATGCATTTCAGATATATCTCAAAATGTGAGTTAGTGGAAGGTTTTTGTTTGTGCTGATATTGTGGTTCAACGATTTAGAATTATAATTATAATTCTGTGTTAACACGCTCAGTAAAATTAGATTTCGGGAGAACTTTCTTTGCGACCTTTCTTGGTCACTAAGTTCTCTTTATTAGGAATATCCCTAATGACAAATGAAAACTTGCAAACTTCTCTTCTACCTGCTATTATGCTGGATTGAGCTTACAATAATTCTAAAGTAGTTCTAACCAATGCGTCGAAAATGCTTTTCTGCGGTAAATGAACATGTTATGTACCGAAAATAAATACACTTTGTGCTGAAACAGCGCAGGTCGTTCTTAAAAACAGCACTGGACGCTTAATTAATGCGACGAAACAATAAAAATAGGATTTGCTGCTGAAATAATATCTTTAGCGCTGAGATAAAAGCTGAAAAAAGTCGCCACTAAGCACTGAACTACGTCTTTTGTTTTGAAGTAATGCCATTCAGTGCTGAATCTGGGATGAGAGGACTGAAACAACTGATTAGCAATCCCAGTTGGTACTGAGGTACTTCTGAAAATGCCTAGAAAAGGCACAGGATGCTGAGTTAGTGCCAGTCATGCTGAAAAACAGCACTGAGTTCTAGTCTGTGCATATAATCAAACCATTTCAGAACAATTTCAGAATTCGCTCATGATAGGATGTTAGAGTTAGTTCATAATTAGCTAGATTTAATTCAGCACTATGGTAAGCCTGGGATAATGAAATTTTCCTTTCAAAAATATAATATTGTTACGTGGGAGGTGTATATGCTAAGTAATAAGTTAGATACTTAGCTGCTTTTTACGATTGGTCTGTATGGATCCACTAACAGGCCAGTTAATCGAAAATAGTGTTGTAAAACCAGAATTTTGTGCAGGAAAAGTTTCGAAATCGATCAGTTACTTTAGGACTTTACAATAACTTTAAATTTTTAAACACTACCAAATGTACCGTGTCCGTTTGTGCAACAAGTTTTAGTTCAAAGCTTTTTGCATTAATTCAGATTTTCAACTTGTTTCACGCGTCGTCCCGTTCAGCAAGGCATCAATACATGTTCACCACTTGTTATTTAGCGTTTGATTAGTGATGTTGTATTTGTCATTTCATTTATCTTTTTATGTCAAAAATCCTCATGGCAATGAAATTCTTTGCTACTCAACTATTATTTTACTGCTGGCTTAAATTTTATTTTTAAAATTTATTCCATCATCAACATAAAAATATCGAAGTTATACATTAAACCTGACGAAACTCTAACTAAACTACGTATCTTCTCAAAAGCATTTTTCTAGTGTACTCATGATAATAGTGATAAAAATTTATAGCTGCACTTGAGGTTATTTCATATTTTCACTATATGCCTAGATTAGCAACTGATAGGCACAGATTGATGTCGGTCTAGGCATCTTCAGTTCCACTTACAGTTTGATTCGCAAACACGTAGTGGGGCAGTGAATGGTAATATAATCATTTCAGAGACTGTATATTGTTGAAAGTCCTCCCAGTAGATCCGTGGTTCATTAATCTGGAAAGTCTACTTTCAACTTCAAAGTCTAAGGTTAAATCTCTGCTCCACATAATGGAGTTTTGCTGGGCAGTTAGGTAGTATAGTCATCACGTACATGTGAGGCATGGGGTATCGATAAGTGAGTTAATACTTAGTTGAGAAAAAGTCGCTATTTATTTTTGTATGATTTATAGAGGTAAGAGAATCACACTTCTAAAAACTATAGGCTTTCTCTTTTTTGAATACAAAAACAAAGAGTTCAGCGAAGAGTCTCTTTTCCTATTTTAAAGTTTTTAGTAACTCAAAATAGCTATATATCGCCAATATAATTGAACATCATGATTTTCATTGTCTTGGTTGTCTGAACAAGGTGCCGGCATTTTTGTGTTGTCGATACATTTATAATCAAAGTGTTCTGACTGTTATACCTCCTAGTTACCATACGAATGGACCACTCAACTTACTAAGAAGAAGCTCGGTTTTTAGTACATTCATCAGGGTGAAAATAGTAGAAAGTAATATATATTAAGATGAGGAGACAGAGAGGTTAGCTACTGAATTTTTTCAGCTGATCACCACGTGCAATTGAAAAGATACAAAGAGTATACTGGATTTATGGAAAAAGTGTAATAGACAACAGGGGAAAGTGGAGAAAGGTACATAAAGCAAATTATCAGGCCATGTAAATACATTGATATGATTATGAACCTTGAGTTGTTTTCGAGACGTCATCCAGTTATTAACAGTGCATCACTGAATGCCGTATCAAATAAACTTATGGAATTACATTCTACCACAATATCCATGTTCTACATTTATATTAAGGGGTCGTACTTCATTTCTGGTTACTGAAATCATCCAGCTTCCTTAAAGTGCTTCGCGACAAGTTGTACCTTCTATTTCATTATCATTTTGATTATGAAATACAGTTCTTCCAAGTCATTTTTTAATGTTTTACACGTAACACATGATATAGAGCTTCGTAAACCAGTTTCTTCATAACCATTTTTTCTAGGTCTATCCATTTAGTGTCTTACTATTTCACTCTGTGCAGCTGGATAAAACAGCACTGTTTTACACTTAAAATTCTTACATGTTTTTTTACAGAACATGCAGCTATAAATGCTTCAGTGACTAACTGCCCATTGTTTCTTTTATTGTAGAAACTTATTCAGCAGGAATTGTTTCCTGATCATTTGTTTTCAAAATTTAAAAATCGTTCAGTGGAAAGCAGTTTGAAAGAGATATTTGAAAAAATTAATGTTGTACGCAGTATAGGCAGTCCTGGTCATGTAATGGTTAGAGAAGTAGGTTTTAGTTACATCAAAATAAAAACGTTTACTTTTAAGTTTATCACAAAATTTCTAGAAGAACGTGGTTGGCATGTTGAATTGGATACTTTCAAAGAAAATACAATAATTGGACCTAAGGTCTTTCATAATATCGTCGGCTATAAGAATAAATCGACATACTCTAAATTCTTAATTTTGTCTTGTCATTATGAATCAAAAATGATACAGAATTTTGTCGGTTCAACTGATTCAGCTATGCCATGTTCAATAATCTTGAAAATTGTTGACTTATTGAATAGTGGGATCGACTCAATCAAGGTAACCAGTGTCTGTTTTTTCCACTTGTAACTATTTTTTTCTTTTACGTAATGAATTTATCAATATTATAAGATGTAAAAGATTATTTATGTATTGATGGAATGGTCCTAACTTTGGAAGTTGTGCATAAACTTTTATGATAATTAAGTGATTGAATAAAATGTGGAACCTTTTCTTGAGCGTACATATTTTAGTTTTTTTGGTTTAATTTGACTATATAGCCACTTAACATCAATGCAAAGTAGTTGATTTTTAAAATTTAGGTTGTTCGTTAGCAACAAGCATAACATAATACAATCTGGAATGAAGTACTTATGGTTTTTAGTGGCTTTTATTAGTTAACATGAGGTTATGTATCATTCGGTGTTCAGATAATGTGCGAAATATCCTTTCGTAAGTTTCTGCATAATCAAACACTCTTCAAATTGTATTAAGTTGGAAAAAGTTCCATTTTACTATTCCATGCAGTTGGGAATGAGCTACACTTGTTATGCGGGGAAATATGATACTACCTGACTACTGCCTAGACCTCTGATGTGTGACCCATCGGTTGGAAGTTGACAATCTAAGTCAATGAGCCAAGCTTTCAGATGGAGATAAAGGATGAAACATTTTCTTCAGTGCCATTTATTCCGTCTAATCTGATATTGACATAAAGAATTTCCTTCTGTTTTGTAACATAATAGATAAGTGAAATTATAGAAACATTCAATGTTTAGAATTCAAATCATTCTGTTTGGCCTGTGTTTTGAATTAGCATATTGCACGACGAATAAGTAGTATATGTAATAACACTATAAATTAAGTCATTTCGGTGATGATAACAGATTAGATAGTTGGAGGCAATCGGCCACAGGAAGCCTTGAACCTAGGTTTTGTGCTAGTTGGCACTCACCAGTCAACAAGACATATCTACAACATCGAAGAAACTTATGTCCCTTCTGAGATTCTAACCCGCGTCACCCAGTGCTGCAGTCAGAGACTTTACCACTGAGCTATTCGGACTTGCGATTGACCTCATGTAGGACTGTAGTAGGTATTTGGTTTGGCCACTAGTAACTAGTGTGACGTATCTAGTCTTTTCTTTGGTGCAGACTGAATTCTATCAGTCAGGTTTGCAATGTGGCTATCATTCTAGGTGGCTCGCCATCACGGTGCACATTGATTAGATGATATTAGATAGTTGGAGGCAATCGGCCACAGGAAACCTTGGACAGATAAGATTATTGTGACAGTAGTATTTCTGTCTAAGGTATACTCTGTTCTACCGATTTTAGACAGTATGCCTGAGTCCAATATTTATTTGTTTATGTATTAAAACACAAATTTGGTACATGATGGCCACCAAAAGATGCACCACACGAAGTCTGAATGCTCAAACAGAAGTAGGCGGTGGTCTTACGAGTCTAAATGCCGAGCCTTTGACATGAAGTCTGATCCATGAAGTAGTGGAGTGGCGTCAGAAGCTACATCCCTATTGGTTGCTAGTGATCGAGACAGGTTCGACTCTTTTTCATATCCCAGAGCCTATGAAAATCATACGTTCGGAATCAGGGTTTTCCAACTCCCCTAGGTAGACTAGTATGTCCACCGGTGGTGGTCAGGTTGTAAATGCTAGACGTCCACATTCGCCCTTTCACTTTTGTGAGGAACACTTCAGCCCCTTGGAAGTCAGTGAATAGGAGTTAGGTGGCAGAGGCTATGAACCCAATGACCCAATCAGAGCATTTCGAAAGGAAGACCGAAGTCTACCAGCCCTCGGTGGTACCATTTTTTATTTTATTCCTTTGCATTCTTTGTGGAACATATGGAATCAAACTTGAGGTTTGGAGATTCAGTAGCATTGATGTTTGTTTTTATGAGATGAAACTGCTAGCCTCACGCCCAGCCCTCCTTCTTTACCAGTCTTACTACAGTGTGAAGTGGTATAATAAGATGAGCGATATTGAGGTTAGGCGTCAAGTTGTAGGTAAGGAGGGGAAATCAATCGACGAGGCTGTGAAGCTACACCGATTGAGATGGTTAGGACATGTGTTACGTATGCCTAGTCATCGCCTTCCTCGACGGGCGATGTTAGCTGACATAGGGTCAGACTGGAAAAGAGCTAGCGGCGGTCAAACGAAACATGGCACCAGTCAATGAAATCTACAACAGTTAGTCTAAGCCACGTAGGAAGATGTAGACTTCCTGGTTGGGGTCCTCGGGACGGTAAAAACCAATGGTTGGAAACAATTGGTGACATGGCTCAAAATCGTTCTCAGTGGCGCAGATGCATCCACTCCTTGTGACTTATGATTTCCGATGAAACTGTTCGTTCTTCGTTATTACTACTCCTTTGTCTCACACCTCTGTTTACTGTCAATATTATGCATTTCTTCTACTTTCTTCTCTTGCTTTGTGTGCTACATGGAGTGTGGCGACTTGAACTGCCACACATCAGTGCAAAGTTCTATTTCGAAAACAGGCAGACAGACAGACCGTCTAAGCGAGGTCTAGAAGTGTGGCAACCGGGAATCGAACCTTGGGCCATGTGCGTAGATGGCAAGTGTTTTAACACTGAGCCATCAACGCAACTGTAGCATCTTTAGGGCATAATTTCTCATCATATCGTTTGTTAGGATCTTGTAAGCTATGCATACCAGTAATATTATGCATCAGTGAAAATATGTGACTTTAAGAGAAAATATACAACTTATAACATTATTGAATACATAATTAATATAGTATTTACATTTTTCCTTAGAATTCTAGCATTGGTCTGAAGGTTGTATTTTTCGATGGTGAAGAAGCCTTTGAAGAATGGACAGATACTGACAGTTTGTATGGATCACGACATTTAGCCGCAAAATGGAATGAAAAGTCCAGTTCAACAGGAGAGACAGAATTAAGTAAAATTGTAAGTTTAAAGCGCTTTATGTAAGAAATATTGTAGTGTATTTGTGCAACACATTTCAGACAGTCTGATAACACACGTACTTGTCATACACATGTATACAGAAAGTAAGATAGCATGAATTATTACAATGCAGATCAAACTGTGTACAGGTTAAAGTCACAAATAGGGGCTAGGAAGATGGATGGTGTAAGGGTACAAAGAGTAACAAATAGTAGCATAAAAAGGACGATATATATGTACAGAAAAACTACGCATTCTAGGAGATTTCTTGATTATCAAACACTCAGCTCATCGACTCACAGTAAAACGAAATTTTATACAGGATCTTGCAGACAGAATACACAGACTTACAATAACACCAGATGACCAACGAAAAGAAAGAAATATTCAAAATGTTACTCGAAAACAATTACGAAGAATAATTCATCAGAGATAATATAAAGAAAATCAAAATAAGTGATTCAGCGAAGAGACTCTTTCCAACAACGAATTTATCATCAAGCTGTACAATCGTATATATATGGTCCTTTTTAAGAAGTTATATCCGGTGAGGGAATTGAATCATAGGTGTGAATGCATAAAATAATAATAATAATAGTAGTCGTTCGACTCGAGTTTTGTCCAAGAGGGTGCAAGAACACTATCCTGCATGGTTATGAAAAGGTGGAAGTGGAGCAATAAAAAGCACGATCATTGAACATCTCGTCGATAATGATAGCCCTATCTCTATAGCCTTCGCCTTTAAACTCATCTACAAGGCAAAAAGTAATTTAACGATATCATTGCGTACCCGACTCATCTGTATTGCTGAAGCTTTGGCTATCCAAACAGAAAAGCCAGATCTCTGTGCACAGAAAGAGTGCGTTCAACCCCTCCAACTTTCATGGTCTTAATCTCTCTATGCTAAAGTATGGTAATCCCTAATCAAATTTTGGCTCTACCAATTTTTTCATTTTGCCTATTCACTTTGTATACTCTTCCTTTTTTTACATCAATTGTTACTATTACTATTCTCACTTTGAACTGTCCCCTGTATTATTACACTCTTTCCACTTGTCATTCTAAATCAATTCCTTTATGCAACATTAAATTCTATGCTATTAAATTTCACACAATATGACGTAACGTTTTTATTTTTTCGATTTGTCTACTAATCTTATAATTGCACACCTTTTTCAAGTTCTATCCATCCTATGAATTATTCTATATATGACATTAATTGTTTTGCCACTTGACATTTAACTACGATTATAATCACAAACATTTTAGTTTTAATTGGATTTCACATTATTATTATTATTTTATGCATTCACACCTATGATTCGATTCCATCACCGGATATAACTTCATAAAAAGAACCATATATATACGATTGTACAACTTGATAATAAATTCGTTGTTGGAAAGAGTCTCTTCGCTGAATCACTTATTTTGTTTTTCTAAATGTTACAATGGGAATTTTCCATGAGATAATATAAAGAAACAAAGAAAGTAGGTGGAAACAGAGAATAACAAGAAGGAGGAATGCAAAAAAAAGTCACAATACCATATAAAAATGGTACATCAGAGGCAATTCGAAGAAACCTCAAAAATATTGGGATTCGTACAACGTTTAAACCGACGAATCTAATTAAAAATAAAATAAATCAACTGAAAGATCCCATAAAAATGATGGATAAAAACAATGTAATTTAAAAAATATCTTGTGCCGAGTGTCTGACTATATATATGTGGGTAAAATGTCCAGATCACTCAAAATAAGAGTGAATGAACATAAACGCCTAACTAGTGGTCAACCAACAAGAACACAAGCTTACAAGAATTTAAAAAAAAATTCATCTACAGCTGCACTTGCATGGGACGAAAACTACTGTATTGATTGGAACAATGTTTGTTTTTTGAAATCCAATATGAACAGATGACAAGAGAGACTTATAACAGAATCTATATTCATTAAGGTCACACCGGATACATTTAACAAGGGTGACTCAGCACAACTGTCTTAACGACTCACCCTGACTCGGCTCTCCAATTATTCCAGGAAATTTGTAACACCTACCGTCTGGAAACTTATAAACTGAAATATAATTATGCATACACAAATTATAAATGCGTAAATTAAAAGAAGAAAACAATTCCAACAATTGATGGGATCACGGGCAGTAATTTTACAAAACACTTATCATTGTGTGTAAACTGTTGAAATATAATTATAACCAATTTTTTATTATAAAAGCTTTTGTATTTCTCAGTGAATGAAAAACAAAATGATATCACGTTTCGGTATTTAATACCTCTAATAGCTTTATCAAAGTATTATTAAACCAGAATTTATAAAATCTCAACTTATATGTAACAACCCATTCATCGTTGATCAGCACGAAGGCATTTTTGCTTTGTCAAACTGACCAATTGGTAAAGCTAACAAAACCATGTGTAGATTGTTGGATTTGTTAGGCGTATAAAATTATAAAAGCAGCATATGCTTTCATATGCGCATGTATTTTCCAAGTTGGTTAAACTTGGTTTGGACATATATAATTGTCTCTTTTCAAAAGTTGGTTTGTAAGGATTAGATTTGTTTTTACGATGCTCGCTAGTGACTTGCTACAGGATGGAGTTTCCTGGAGTTCTAGTGAGAAGTCGTGACCAGTGAGGTCCATCCAGTCAAGTGTGAGGATGGATTTCCCACCTATGACATTGATTGGTGGTCGCGCTAAATGCATCACGAATTGGTGAAAGTTAGAATTCATGGACTGGCCATTGAATCGGATCCCAGTGGCTGAATGGTATACGAGCCAGCTTGCCTTGTAACCGGGAGGTCCTGGGTTCGAACGGTGGCAGTGTGTGAGTATTGCCGATGATTCGCAAACTAGACTGACGAAACAGCTGTCCAGTACTTCCTGCTGGTTTTCAATGGTTCTCTAACTGATATCAATCCGTAGTCAAACTCGTTAAACCATATATATATATATATATATATATGCTTCAACAATCACAAAAACCACAGCATATTCGATCAAATTTAATACTAATCCGAATTGTATTATAGTATTCATGCGATATCATGTTTAGTGGATCTCAAACGATTAAATTACTATTATTAGATTCAAATGAGCTTAGCTTATTTACTCTCTACTATTGATTATTAACTATAGTAACTATATGAACTAAGGAGACTTCCAAGTGACATTACACACCAGGCCATCGAGTGAAACTCGAATGGGGAACGGTGATTTGGACGTGGATATGAGGTGAAGTGGAAATAAAAGCTGGTGGTTGACAGTTACAGAATCAGCTAAAATTGATGTAGGGTACTTTTGATTGGATACCAGTTAATAACTAGTGTAATGTGTCTAGTCCTTTGTTTGGTGTAGACTGAATTCTATCAGTCAAGTTTGCAATATGGCCATCATGCCACTAGGTGGCTCGCCATCACAGTGCACATTACAATCTTCATTGATAGAATTCAGTCCACACCGAAAATAGGACTAGACACATTACACTAGTTACCGATTGGTGTCCAATCAAAAACATCCAATACAGTCCTGCAGGAGGTGAATGGCGAGCTTGAATAGCTCAGTGATAACGTCTCTGACTGTGGCAATGCGCGACGCTGATTCGAATCTCAGAAAGGATATGAGTTCCTTACAGGTTGCAGATGCGCCTTGCCAACTAGCATGAAACCTAGGTCAGGCAAGGCTTCCTGCTGATTGTCTCCAAACATCATCCGTTAACTGTTAAGGTAGGCCTAGTTAAGTGCTGTCTAACATACCGAGAAATAGCACTAAGTAGCACAAGAAAAGACCTAAATGATAAAATCAAACAGATAGAAGAGGCGTTGGTGTTAAATAACTATCCTATAAAATTCAATATGAAGATCGAAAAAGGCCGATAGCAAAATAAAAATAATTGTGAAACTAGTAGTGGTAACATAAATAAGAGAGAATATAAGTCATCTACTGTTATACCATATAAGGAGGAGACATCTGAGGCCCTACGTAGGATTCTTAATAAAGCAAGAATTAGGGTGGCATTCAAACCTAAAAGTTCACTCAGAGACAAGCTCTGTAGGCTAAAGGACACTGTCGGTGGACCCAATTAAACAAAATAATATAATTTACAAAATACCCTGCAATGACTGTGAAGTCAACTATGTAGGTCAAACTAGTAGATCGGGGATAATCAGATTGTCGGAACATAAGAATTCAGCTAAGGTAAGAATGGTTGACCCCGAGAAGATGAGTAATTTGGAAAAAAAATCAGCACTACATTGCACTGCATGCATAAACCCATAACCACACAATAGCATGGTGGGAGAGGGTTAAGATTCTAAGAAGTAATCTATGTAGGTGGAGAGTGAGATTAATTACTGACTCCTGACTGGTTCATTGAGTCTACATCCAACACATGCAACAGAAATGACTCAATGCAAATACCAGAGATATGGAAGATATTATCACCACCAGTCAGTCAAATCAGAAGAGGATAATAAATAATCTCAAAATTCTATTTCAATTCAAGCACATCACAACATTCTAACAAGTTACTTATTATGACTATAAAAAACACTCGTCTTATTTCCCATGTGATTGTAATTGATCAATAACACTCATATTATTATTTCTGAATGTACATTATCCTTTATTGATTTTTTATTCCAATATCTAATCGATTCCACACATGTATGTAAATGAAGCGAGAAAGTTGTGTGAGTAACTTGATATGATTATGAGCAGTAATAGTTTGTGCTCGAAAGGTGGTCATCAGTTAATATTACTGTGTAACACTGTGTGACTTATCAAAATAAAATCTTATCCATAAATGGAGTTCTACTCTACCACAGTGACCAAGTTTTATACTTACATCTAATGATGATAGTGTACTGAGTGTAATGGAGATGTGCAGATGAAGTCCTGTACTCCACTTGGAATACAGGAAATAAATAATATTACAATAATAATAATAAGCAGAATTTTCATATTTTCAGTTTACTTATACATATCATGATAAATATTTACCGCACTTATATTGTGATTTCCTTTCAACGCCCAGGATCTGTTTGTTCTCCTGGATTTACTTGGTGCAGAAAATCCACAAATACCGGATTTTCGTTATGAAACTCGAGGGAATTATATCCTGCTTAGCGCTTTAGGTAAGTTTGTCTTCATTTCTGGTTCTTTTTTGTATTCTTAAGATTAATCACTAAGCTTAGTGATTAATTGACAGGGATAACATATTTGAAAATGTTGAGTTCACACAGAGATTCGATTAGTTTCATGGTTGATATCTTTGCCAGCTAAACATTTCAATACATGGAGGAGATCGTGCGAGGAGGAGATGAGAGATTATGATCAGTCGTGGAGCCAGCTGAAGAGGACAGCAGGGAATTGAACAAAGCAGAGATGTGTTGTTGAAGCCCTATGTCCCACTGGGAACCCAAGGGAATAATACTACATACATACGTTCATACCTGATTTGTGACTAATTTGTAGATAGGCTTCCTTGAGTCTTGTAGGAATCCGTGTCGTCGATGTTAAGGCTGAATACAAACACTCACTGGTGATACAGAAACACAGATGTAGATTATTAAATATTGATTCACTAGATTCTGACCTCAAGATTGAATGATAGTATGTTCGCTTCGTAGTATGATGGTGTCTGTAAGTATGGTATGTACTTTGCGCCGTCTAAGTGCAAAGTACTGTGACAAAATTTGCAGGAGCCTGTACCTTCACTCACTCTTGCAGGTGAACCGCTTGAAGTTATTGATAAGTTTGTGTATCTGGGTAGTTGTATGAGTGCTGGCGGAGGGGTGACGGATGAGATTTCCAACCGTATATTGAAGGCTAGGGTGGCATACATCAACTTGAGCCACCTCTGGCGCCGTCGGGACGTTAGCCTGGCTGTCAAAGGTCGGGTATACAATGCTTCGGCGCGGACTGTCTTGCTCTACGCCTGTGAAACCTGGCCTCTGCGAGCTGAGGATGTGAGGCGACTCTGCGTGTTCGACCATCGCTGTCTCCGCAGGATTGCTTGCGTTCGATGGCATCATCGCGTGAGTAATTCTGAGGTTCAGCGGCGTGTGTTTGAACACAGTGGAGATCACCATTCATTGAGTGTGGTCATCTGGAAACACCGGCTCCGGTGGCTTGGACATGTGCTGCGAATGTCATCTCAGAGGCTTCCGTAGAGGTCTCTGTTTGCTAGCCCTGGGACGGGATGGGAAAGGTGGAGAGGTGGTCAGTGCATGACGTGGTGTCGTGATATGAAGGACTTTTGTGCTAGATTAGCATCGGTTGGTGCGTCACGACTCCCTGGTTGGGGTCCGCGAGATAGCCCGAATCGATGGCTCGAAACATTATCAGATATGGCCAAGAACCGTAATCAGTGGTGAACGTGTTGCAATTTCCTTCTTTCTTCCCTTCCCGATGTTAGTTGACGAATGCTGTTTGAAATTGTTAAATATGACTTTTCCTTCCAGATGAAGTTCTTTATCCGCTTTCTACTTATATTTTTTACTATTGATCTGTGTTGTTTTATTATTATTGTGTGGCGCATCTTTCTTAGTGCCATATTGTACCAAGTTTTTTCTGCGTTTAAATAAATAAATAATGGCCTCAGGATAATCTCCTTTCGATGCTGTATAATAAAAAATTAGAACAAAACACTCCTGTTGTACTCGTTAGTTTCTAGTGATTCTTTAAGTTCATATCAGTTTGTAACAAAATACTAAACGAAACAAATGACTGGACATTCGGTCTTGTTAACCTACAACTAGGCTGACTATATACAGTAGTAGTGTGGTGAGAGCTGGCTGCTAGCCAAAATTGGTAGACAGTAATTTACGTCAATGTGTACGTCCCCAATATTGGTCATGAGAAAAAGAAACAGGAACAAAGACTGAGTCAACAACCAATCACAGCAAACTTTGCGTAGCTGAATACAATTTGCAGATAGATAATAATCTGAACTTCAAGAAACGGTCACAAAGAGATGAAAGATTAACGTTCAGCGAGAAACCACAAATCAGAAAACTGTGTTTGTTTGCTTACAATAATCTATAATAATGTATAGGAAAATCTATAAATATGTGTTGATTTCCTAAATAAAGGATCCGTTGCCTGGCCCTTGTCTTCTGTTGTTACAGTAGTACTTATCAACACTGTTCGAACACGGGTTCTTTTCACCTATTCCAATATGACTGAGATCCATATGATTCTAAGAATCAGTAGTTGGCAGCTGTTGATGAGATGACTCATGACTGTTTAAGGTGGTCCAATTGTATTCAATCTTCATCATATCTCCTAGATCCTGAAAGTATTCTCCTTCATGTCCATCTGCATCCATTATAGTTTCATTGCACTTGTATTCTCTTATCTTTATGTGTGTTTTTATTGAAGTATGGTTACTTGGACTGGTCCATATCTCTGTGTAATGTCGTCAGTTGGTTAGTGAGTCAGTAGTTCTCTTCAGCATACTTGTAACAACAGAAGACAAGGGCCACGCAACAGATCCTTTATTAAGGAAATCAACGTATATTTATAGATTTTCATGTACATTATTATAGATTATTGTATGCGAACAAACACAGTCTTCTGATTGGTGGTTTCTCGCTGAATGTTAATCTTTCATCTCTTTATGGGCGTTTATTGAAGTTCAGATTATCTATTTGCAAATTGTATCCGCCTACGCAAAGTCTGCTGTGACTGGTTGTTGAGTCAGTCTTTGTTCTTATTTTTCTCATGACCAATATTGGGGACGTACACATTGACGTAAATTACTGTCTACCAATTTTGGCTAGCAGCCAGCCCTCACCACATTATTATTTATTATTATTGTTCCCTTAGGTTCCTAGTGGAACATAGGGCTTCAGCTGCACGTCTCCACTTGCTTTTGTCTTCTGCTGTACTTTTCACCTGCATCCACTGTAGTCCATACTGTTTCAACTCCTCTTCACACAATCTCCTCCACGTAACCCTTGGACTTCCCACTCGCCGCTTCCATTTCGGGTTCCACTCGAGCTATGGCCTAACTCACGATGTCACCCAACGGCTTCCTCAGCGAGTGTCCAATCCATCTCCACTTTCTCCTGCATATTTGTTGGGCGATTGGTTCTTGTTTCGTTTGTTTCCATAGTTCCTTGTTGGTGATTCTTTCCGGCGATCTGATATTGAATATAAAACGAAGACAGCTGTTGATAAAGGTCTGCAACCTGTTGGAAATATTGTTGAGCTCTTAAGCATACTCACTCCTAACCCTCGCCTAGGTGTTATTAAGGCAGAAAAAGAAGGAAGGCTGGGATAGGTAAAGCTAGCAACCTCACCTCACCCTGTAATGACAAACAACACCACTGGGGCTACTGTAGCTTCAAAAAGCTTGGGTCCCTGTGCTGTGCTCAAAATCCAAAGGTATAGACTTGTAGTGAACTCAAGCATGTATCATATCATTCGTAGTGTTCACCTATAGTCAATTGAACATATTGATTACAGCATTGTTTTATCATTATTGATTTCATACTTGTTAACAGTCCAGCTGATCAAGGTTCATCCCTTCAGCGACACACAAATATATAACACACACTGTTGTATTAATGATAATAATAATAATAATAATGTTAATTAACCTAATTCAGTTGACAGGTACATGCTAATTATTCAGGTAATCTTAATTAAAACTAGATGATAAAGTTTGCTAATTAATTATAAAAATGAGCTTACACTCTAAATAAAAGAAGATTAAACAAATACTCTTCTTTTTTTAAAAGTTTTTATTTACTCATCATTTTTTATGTGAATTTCAGTTACTCAGTATAGAGTTTTCATACATCAAACTATAGAGCCATACTAAATATATATGAGCTCTGAAGATTCCACTTTTTCATTTATGTTGTGAAGTAGGCGTTGTTAGATTTAAACAACGCAATTCACCAGTAGTAAGGTCAAATGTGCGTCGGTGTCACAGCGGTTAGGAATCTCGCCGACCATGCACATGGTCCGAGGTTTGATCCCCCGCCGACGCACACCTGATATCTATGGTCGGCCTGCAAAATTTGGGCTACCGATATCACACGCTGAAAATTCCATACTTGCACCAAAATACTGTGTGGAATCAAGCTATAATAAAAAATGCTGAATCCAGTGTTGATACAGTAAATGATACACATCGATCGCAAAATTCCAACAGAAAAAGAACTGAGGCCTACTATCTACAGGATGTGAAGCATATTTGTACTGAACTCTGTCACTGCATAGTTACGATTCTGGTATTTCATTAGAAGTTTGACGAAGTGTAATAGTTAAGTTGTTTCATGAGAAAGGATACATCCAAGAAAAGCCACTGATGTGGAAAAATTTTGATTTTTGGCTGAGATGGGATAATTGATCAGGTACATATAACATATAAAAGAAATACCGTGATCAAACGGAAGAGGGCACAGGTTAAATACATATATAATTGTTCCCTCAGGTTCCTGGGGAACACTGGGATTCAACAGTACATCTCCATTTTGTCCTGTTCTCTGCGATCCTCTTTAGATAGCCCCATGATTGCCCGTAGTCTTTGTTCTCCTCGCCCGGTCTCTTACATGTCACTCTCAGACGATCCGCTCATCGTTTTCCGCTTGGGTTCCACTCTAGCAATAGTCTGGTGCGTGATGTCACTCGACGGTCTCCTCAAAGTATGCCTATTCCATTTTCTTTTGCATGAATTCTTACTCAAAAAACTGGTCAGTGAAAAGAAAATGACGGACCAAGCCGAACAGAAACCAACGGACATCCTCCAAAAATTAAGAACTGAATCACTTACTGACGCTGAAACGTTCGAATCTCTGACGTCGTCTGACTCAGATATACTCCGACTTTATGGATTACCGAAAGTACACAAGATAGGCACACGTCTTCGACCTATTCTCGATATGAGTAATTCACCCTATCATCGCACTGCCCAATGGCAAGTTCCCTGCCATTCACTGCGCGATTCCTTCGACTTCGCCAACTCCATTGAAAATGTCAGTTTTTAATCACACCATGTTCTCACTAGATGTAGTATCACTGTTTACGAACGTCCCACTAATTGAAATAATATTCTACATATGTGAAAATATGGGTTCAAAGGGGATAAACATTGATATACCCACTGACCATTTGAAGGAAC